CAGGCCCAATTTTCGAAGGTCGTGAAAGGAAAGTTCAGAAGTCTTCCAGATGCCAAGAAAGCGAAGTATCTTGCTTTGGCCCGAGAGGAGCGGGAGATTTATGAAATGCGAAAAGATGATTTTTTGTAAGTATTGTTTTGAAGTGTTCAAATTTTCTTTTTCTGGTTTTTTTTTCTTCAAATTTTCTGGTTTTTCTTTTGACCCATTGTATGTGTGATTAGTAAAATAAAATATAGAAACGTATAATTTTGTTCGTTTCTATGAGTGACTGATTTTAGAAATTGGTGATAGTCAATTTTGAAAAAAAGAGAATGCCCTAATTGAAGTGGTAATTTTGTTTTTGTAGTGAGAGTTAAGTTCTTACAATGTAGCCATTGGGACTCGAGCTTTGTTCTAGCGAAAAATTCGTGATGAAGGACCTCTTTGAACATTGTGGCTATTGGGCGAGGACATAAACTACGACTTTGCTGTAATCGATTATTCGTTATACATTACCGAGTTTTTTGTAACGAGATTTTAATCTCTGCATTAATCTGGTCATTTTTTACGGCTCTTTGCTTCTGTTCCAGTTTTTTTGCAATTGGAGAACAAATTGCTGTAAAATTGATTATCTGTGTTTTGGGATTTTTCTGTGTACAGTGAGACCCCGAGGTGTGGACATAATTGGTACATCAAGAGTGTCCCTAAGTTGAGTGTAATTTTCCTTAGACTTACATTCTATAATTTTCAATTGGTGTTTTATGGACAAAATACTCAGAGTAATTCCATGAGAATAAAAATGTTCTCCCAAATTAAGCTGATTCAATCAATATATTTCAACACAAGATGGACATTTGGGGATTTGAATTCTGATACCTCTGTACAGTACATGGAAATGTTGGCATTCTCTGGAAAAATAACATTCAAGTGAGAAAGAGAGAAGGAAGTCTCTCCATGATGAAGGTCATTTTTTTAAATTGGCTATATGGATGGTAAATTTGTGAGAGAAATGCCCACAAACTTATTTTTACATCAATTTTAGGGTTGACAATATCTTTTTCTTGTAATTAGGCCTGAAACTTATTTGCAATTTTATTACAAAATGTCCTTACTTTGAGTCAGTGTCCTCATGTTGGTCATTTTTTATTATTTTTTTTATGGGAAAATAAGTGTCCCTGTGACAAATTGTCTGTATGTTCAGGTGTTCGCATGTGGGGGTCTTGCTGTAATTTTTACAATAACTCTGGATTGTGCAAATTTTTTTTTATGTTTGACCATTCTTTTTTGTGGGTTGTGCAGGAATTAAAATTTATTTTCCAACTTGTGTTTCAGTGCTGCAAATCCTCAGTATATCGATGGATCTCAAATGCCCAAATTGCCGCCTACACCTTTTGATGTGAGAAATATTTTACAATTTTCTCGCAACGACTCTGCATTTTTCCGAGTATATTACAGCTCTTTTTGAAGAAGAAGGGAATTGAAACAGAGTCACCGAGAGTTAGACTCGCTCAGAGGAAAATCTTTGAAGCTCTGACGTATGAGAAGACGAGAAGATTTTACCGGAAAGCGCTGGATTTGGTCCATAAATTTTATGAAGAACTTGGAGTTTATGTTGCGATCCATATCAAGGATCCCCTGCTTCCTGATCGTTTTGCGCGTGTTTTCAAAGAAGTATACACATACCGGAGGTGAGGAATTCTGTTGGGAACCCCTGGGATTCAAGATGATGGGC